CTGGGCGCTTTACATTACAGTACAACGTACAACAGTAACATAAAACGTTGTGTTCTGACTAAAAGAAAATTACTCCAAATATTCATCTTATTAATTTAAAAACAGAAACGACTTCAGCTGACATTTGAATGAATCAAAGCAGATATTGTTGTGCAGCCGCTAGGCGCTTCGTCGTCGTGCACAGAAGATCCCGGGCGGAGCCACTGACTGTAGTGTCTTTAGGCCATTCCCAAAGGGGGCACATTTCTCGTTCAAGCACAGTAGAATAGTAAATGGGCTGATTCATCATGTCACGCTCATAACTGTGCCTGATCTACAACAGGGAGCTGCTGCTTTTTCTTTCCTAATCCGTACTATCGTCATTTCGCCTCTACTTCTTTTGTATGTTTGTCACACTCTTGTGGCCCGCTATTTCCGGGGTGCCTTGATAGTCGAAGCAGACCGTGTGTTGTTGAAGCTAGAGAGGTGAGCAGAGTAAGTCTGATTCCCTGTAAAGACTTCTCTGTTGACACCCACTCCTTAGCGCTCATATGACCTTATGCAGTTGCGAGCGCCGTAAGCAACAAAAAACACAAAAAAACACAACAAAAACACTAAAAGATCCGAGTTCGATTCCCAAGTGGAAATAATTTTTATCGAGTATCCCTATCTGTCTGCTTGCTGTGATGTTGCATGCATCCATTTCATTCCTGGTTGGCCCTGACAGACAGGCAAGGTCGAAGCCAACCCCCTTAATAAAAGATGTACATTGTGTCGATGAGGGTGTAAGAACACATAGGCTACATTCAAACTGTTTTTATTCATTTATTTTGTTTTGTTTCGTTTTTATTCAGGGGCCGCTTTGATACCACGATACCACCCGAGCTCCAGAGTACGGCTCGAAACCTGAAAGCGATTGCTAGAGCGTTCGCCAACTCTGAGTATCGAGAGCAAGTGCGACAGCAGGCTGTTGAGGTAGATATCGAGTAATTATAATAATGATGTAAATACTGATGATAATGGTCATGATAATGAAAATGATAACAATAATAATAATGATGATGATGATGATAATGGTAACAATAATAATAATAATAATAAAGTGATATAATGATAATAATAATAATAATGTAATAATAATAATAATAAAAATAAAGAAAACAATGATGATGGTGATGATGATGATGATGATGATGATGATGATGATGATGATGATGATGATGATGAGAATAAGAATAAGAATAAGATTATGAAAAAGAATAAGAATAAGAGTAATACGAATCTAAATAAGAATAAGAATGATAACAGCGGGAATTTATATAGCGTTCAATTCCTTTAAGGCTCGGAATGCTGTACAATGCAAAAGTATCACTCAAATGAAAGGACAAAAGATGCACATTGTCCGATCACTTAACAACATCAGTTAGTTTGGTAGTGAATTTATTTTTTATAAAGACAATTATTGACTATGAGAATGTAAATAAGTACAACGATATTTCAGCGCTAAGCTGGAACAATAAGAAAATAACAATATGAATAACAATGATGCTATATTTTTGTTAGTAAGTATTTGATTAACAGCTGCAGAGGCATGTTATGTAATATACACTTGTAGACTTTTCTTCTTTTTTTTCGGTGTGTGCGTGAAAGGGGGGTGTGGTGGTCGTGGCCTCTTTTCGGTGCCTTGTTATTGATCTTTCTTGTATTAGACAATCACTGACTGTGAGAATGTAAGTTAGCTTATGTACTATACGATATTTTAACGCTAAGCTTCGCTGAAATCATAAAATGAATATGAATAAAGAAGGTGCAAATCGCCACAGCGCACCCGCCAACCTCCCACCCCAGCAAGATTGGAGGGGTAACATTTCCTGATTTGTCCCAGCTCCAGAAATGTGAATATCGTCAATGTCATGTCATTAAATCGCTTATGTCACTTTCTTAGGGTTTCCAGATGAAGCTGTTATTCAGACAGAAACGTCCAACGGTCAACTTAAAATAATACTTTTTTTGGTTTCATTATTTCCTTCTTAGTTATTAACAAATAATGCATGCCTTGGCCATGGTTCTTATCGTGGGGATGTTTTTTGCGTTACCTTTCTCAAACCTTCAGAAATTAATGACTTATTATGCGATGATGGAATGGCCCTGACTATATCATTATATGGCACATTTGGTCCGGAAACCATTCATTTACTGAACTGGCTTAGGGGTCAAAATACTGAACTTTTCTCCTTTACACACAAACTCGAGGTAAATACACATTGATTTTATGTTTTCTTCGAATAATTTTTGTGCAATAGGCCCTAAACTCATGGACTTGTAACTATCAATGCCAAGCTTCATTATCCTCCTCTTTGATATTTAATTTTTGTGTACATGTAAAGTGCGAGTGAAAAATTAAACGATCACAAATTCCTTAACACTCTAACTAAAACTTTAAAAAAATCTGAGAAGAACCTAAAAACTTTTCACAACCCCCACCCTTCCCAGATAAGCAACAACCTGTCAGCGAACAGTCTCTTTGACATTCTGCGGATGATTCTTACCGTAACCGACACGAGACAGCTAGCAGAGCACATAGTTGTTGCATTCTACTTCCTGTTTGACATCCTGTGCCGAATGGCTTCGAGATCCTGGGGCCAACTGCGTCAGGCCTTTGACTGGTGTTATGAGGGCATCAGGGGGGTTGTCGATCCTTTGGTTGAGAACGCTGGAGGATGGGTAAGTTAACCCTCTCTCTCTCTCTCTCTCTCTCTC